TATATATATATATATCTTTCCATCATCAAATATTTTCATTTATTTAGAGAATTTCGAAATGCTTTTTATGAAATTCTTCATTATAATAATTGTCAATGTCTTCTTTTATCATCTAAATATAATATGCGCACATCACTTAGTAAATCTACTTATTCAATAAATACAAAATTTACACCACAACCACAATCACGACAAGCGAGTTTTATACCGTATTTAAATCCACTACAACGTAATGGTTATCTTTCTAATGAAATGTATTCACCTAAAATATTAAATACATCGAAAAAAAGTGAAAGTACTGATACATTTGAAATGAAAACATTAGCAAATCAACATTCAACACTTGAAGCTTTTCGTGAACTTGAACATCTTGTACCGAATTCTATTCCTGATAGAGTATCCATTGCTGAAATGAGTTCATTACTTTATGATCAAGATGATATAACCATTGAAATACCAGCTAATGGAAAATCAACAATTACATTACAAACAAATCATTCTTGACTTTTTTTTAATCTCATACCAATATATGTTTATTTAGTGGTTTTGATGACATCTCTTCATTCCATTAGTCATCTATAATGTATGTATACACATATACTCTCGATAACGGTGATTATATTGACAACAAAAGCCCAGTGCGTCGTTTTTTTCGAATAATACGTGTGTGCGTATAAGATTGGTGAATATTTGTTTGTTTATTTGTTTTTTTTAATATTAGTTTCCAATAATAATATGCAATCTGGTACTCTGTTATACAGACTTTAGCTTGAGAGATTTTATTCTCCACAATTTGATAACAATTTAATTTTAGTATCCTTATTTCATCTTTGTGTTTTTTTCTTTAAATTCAAAAAACAGTAGTAAATGAAATCTTTCTATTATTTGTTTTATCTTTTATCTAAACGAATTTAATAATGATAATAGTACAAATGAACGAAGTACAATGTCAAAGATCTTTAAAAGAATTATCTAGCAAAATTTCTTTTTCTTTTAATATTCTTAAATGCATTTATCTTATCCATGATGTGCTAGATGATGTTTAATTCTTATCTTTGATATATATTTGTTTTTGAAATTTTTTCCCTTTTATTAGATTATAAAACAAAATGTTAATATTATTATTTTTTTGTCGTCTTATCTTAATTAATATTGATTGATGTACTCTATCAATATTAATATCTGTCAGAAATACTGATGACTCGAGTTTTCAAATAGTCAAATTACATCTCGACAAGACAGAGAGTACCTCATGTTTCTTTTTGATCAGTACTTAAATATATTGGAAAGACAAATTCTTTAACCCTTTACCCTTCATTGGCAACTCGAATTACCATTTGTAGAACGATTGCAGAAAGTAAAGAAAATATGAAATTTGAAAACGATAAGGACATTTTTTTGTAGTGAATTTCATGGGTTATCAATTGGTAAAAGAAATATTGTTTTTTATCCCCCTGTCTTTGAAATATTACGCCTGCAAAGTCGATAATTTGGAAAAATAAAAAAAATCGAGTTGTTCGAAACAAATCGTTCTCTACTCACAGTCAATAAAGATCTTTTGGAATTTCTCTATGATATCAATTGATGAAAGTATCTATTAGTAAATCAGATATGTTTCAAATACTTCTCGATAAATTGGCCAAAGTACACACTCTAAGACATATAATTGACCATGGAACTGCTATGAGGCAGCTGTACAGCAATCAAGAAAAATAATAATATATGTATTATAAATCTCAGCTCATGAACAGTTAGAATCGTATTTATTATGAATTAAATGTCTTTAGAAGTTACAAAAAAGCTCAAAGCAAAGTAGATATTTATTTAAGAAGATATGCCAAAAACATATGTATTATTTGACATTAATTTTTATCAGTTCACTCCTTCCATTTTCCATTGCTTCAATAAGATGGGATAAATGTTGCTTTTACTCGCTCAATAATGTGGTCAAAAAAAAATCAAGACTTAGTATGTCATTCTATTCTCTTACTCCATCACACGGTCAATAGACCAATGGAACGGTCTTACACGAAGAGCTAGACACTCGGTGAATCAGACCACATAATTGGCATATTAGATCGGCTAGTGCTTTATTTATGAAGTTATTTTATCGATAACTCTTCTGGGACCGCTGCGAGAGGTAAAAGATGAAACTGAATAATATAAAAAGGTATATAAAATCTCATTGAAGTCCAAATTAAGATATAACACAAATAAGACTATACTTTGTTAATGTCATCAAGGTATTAATTCATTAATAGAACTAAATTTCTATACACGTACAAATGATTTTTCTATTAACATTTTCTGTGCAACTTGAAAGATCCCACATACAGATCG